TTCATCCAAAGACAAAGTGCTGCTATTTGCAGAAGTAAACAATGTGAAAAAGTACTTCTCTCTTTGAACATTTTTCAATTAACTGTAGTAATTGTGGAGGTTTCATGGTTCTAGTGGCAGGAAACCCATCAAGAAATAAGGCAAGTGGGGTTTTGTGGTGTCCTTTTTAACTGCAGATCTTGTCTCATGCCTCTTATTATCTGCATGGTCAAATGAAAACTTGAATGTAAGCAGGATAACTCTTTGATAACTTATCCAAGACACTTCATCTTATGATGGGTTTCAAGATATTTTGACTTTCATGGGTCAACAGGAAAGAGAAATTTCTGAGAAACAGCAACAAGCTAAAGGGGCTGTCGAAATAGGCTTAAAAATATTTAAGTGTATTTATTATTGACTTAATGATGGTTTAAATAATTTATTTAAATTGCTTGATTTGAAATCTCTCCATCTTTTCCTAGCTTCACAACCCATATGCGCATCTTTCAGTCATGGCCTGACCTTTTCTATTCCAGCTATTTAATTAACACAGTGTAATATTCTGTGTGAATTATTCTTGTTTGCAGGATATGGTATTGGTTAAATTTGTTAATGTAAAGGAGCAGTGTATTGTTGATAAACTGTTGGAAACCAAATTAGCTTTATCTTGCAGCTAGCTGATTGCATTATTTCACTCATGGGTATAATACTCCTCTAAATATGCTAATTTCACTCTTTTCTCCGTGTGGTGACATTTTTACTGTTCTCATTACTGACATTTGTAATATTTGAGGTGGGGAAATTTTTCTTGCTTTAACCTCATTATAATGTAGCTAAAGAGATTTGAATATTATCAGATGAAATGCACATATATTCAGGCAAGCAGAAAGGTTATTTTCCCTCCTGGCCCATAACTTTCATGTCCGTAGCAGGTTTGCGTGGACAGAATGACACCTGGATCCAAAACTGTGATACAGATGCCCATGCAGGTACTAACTGCCTAAGCACAATAGTGTGTCCATTGGTAGGTGCCTTCATTTCCAACTTAGAAGCTCTGAGGTGGTTGTGTGACCATATTGGTGCCTGTCTGCCTGTGTCTGACTTAAAACATTCAGGAATTCATCTTGGGAGGAGTTGGTCGCCTGGAGCTCTGATAGACCAGTGGTGACAGACAAAAATTACATGGCTGAGGCTGTTCTTGCTTCCAAATGCTCTTGCCATCCCTGAGGCTGGCCTGGCGGATCTGCTTACAAGTTGGTACCTGCACTGATTTAAGATTGGCTTATTAATATAAACTGAGGCTTTGATGGGTTTGTTACCACCTTGGGGCATCTGGAGAGTCTAGTTCTGCTAAAACACATCTGTCATGTAATGGTTGTGCTCAGCAGTCCAGGAGAGCATCTTCCCATGGGGCAACCCCCAGTTCCTAGCACATTAGGAAGGGTCATTTGCTCTTTCCTGTCGCCATGGTTTTGACAGATTTGCTCTCCATGTGACATTCTTGAAAGTTTCAATGAATGCCAGAGTCCCCTTGGTTCTTACACCTCTCTCCCAACAGTCCCTAACGTCATGTATAAATCTTGTCCTTTCTTGGTCAACTCATACCTTGCAATGTGACAAAAGGCAAGTCATTGCATACCCTCTAAAGGTTAGAAGAATTTTGGCACAAAGTGGGCAGAACCTGAAATTAGTTCAAAGATTGAAAAGTAGTATTTTGCAGATTCTGAAAATTCCTTACAGGATCTAAAAAAAGTTCTCTTTACCAGGGATTTCCCTCAATTTCCAGACTTCAGCTGGAATTGTGACAGTGCAGTTTCAGAGCTGCCATAAACAACACTGGTGTAGCAGGGATCTGTAATGGGTGAGTTCTTTACACCCCATCTTGAAAAACACCTCTGAAGGTGAGCCTGTGAGGTGTGAGCAAATCCCTTTCTTCCTTCCTCAAGTTTTGACATGGTTTCTATTCTAGTTGCTCAGGAACAGGTTGGTTGAAATCTGCTGTGTCTTGGCCTTGGTTTGGGCACCTTCCAGTCTGTGTATTCATTCAGCATATGTTCTTGCCTTTCTTTTTTACTGAGAGGTATGTAAGCTCCAGCTCTGATGTCATAATGATTCCCTGGTACTTCAGGTTTTACAGTGCTTCCTTTTTTCTAGTATCAACAAGAAGCAAAAATACAGACTAGACACATCTTTATCTCATGAAAGCTGAGCAGTTTTATTCTTAAATTAAAACTTTAGTGTTTTCCAGTTGGGAATTCATTTATACCTTTTGATTGAGGCTGTGTATATTCCCACTGCAGCTTGACCATTGTCATGTAGATGATTCCAGGTTTGTGGTGAGCCAGAGCCCATTTTAAGATTCTCTGCGGAGTGGTGGGATAGCTCCTTGTTCTTGTGGAGTCTACCTTTGTGGCTGGCTAATGAAAGACATGTCACTACATTCCCTATACACCACACTGCAGGTTCTTCTGCAGCTCTCAGAAGGAATATGCAAAAGTCACATCTGACTTGGAATTTTAGCATGTCTAAAGCATTCTGTGCTCCATTTCTGCTTGTTCTGCCATTCATCACCTTCTTAATGATGAACATGTAAGTGATGATTGTATCTTTAAGGGGAGTTAGGTGGAAGCTACATGATGTCTTTCATCAAGGTAATTTTGTTAGCTACTTCCCTGCTTCTCTTAGCCTTCAGGCTCCATGTCTTAGACATTTTAGGCAGTTTTTGTTGGAACTCCAGCTTCTGCAGACTACTGGAGACTTCTGGCCCTATGTTGTCTCATTTTATTCAGGGCCACCATGTGCAAGTAACCCCAAACGACATCAGTGGAGTATTTTACACCCCAAAGTTATGTTAAGGAAATTCAGTTTGAAAGACTGATGGTTTCCTCTCTTCCTGAAAACCTGAGAATTATGCAAATGAACTGAGTCACAGGATGTTGGGTTTGAATTGGGAAATACAGGGTGAAAATCTCCACTGTCTCCTTGTGCTAGGACTGCCTCAGTGCAGCTGTCATTGTCTCTGGTGCCAGCAAGGAGAGATAGTCATGGTGCTCTGGTACTGGTCTGTCTGTTGTGTCTCTGGTGCATGTGTTTCTCATTTCTTATCAGACTGTGCCATTGTTCTCCTGTTGTCTTACATGGAAGCAGCAAGGGGTAACTTAATTACCTCTCTGCTATAATTAACAATGTAGACATGAGGGAGTTTGTTTCTGTTGGTCTAGTCACGTTTAGCTGTCATACAATAGGTATGCTGTGAGCTCTGATTGTCTGGGTAGGTGTTTGGGATCAAATCCATGTTGAGGACATAAAGCTCACAAAATGTTGTTTATGTCTTTGAAAATGTGACCCTATTATGTAATTTCATATAGAAAGAAGAGGCTGTATCGATTATTTCTTTGTCTGTGCTTTTCTCAACCGGGACACATGTGAATAAAGTTTAAATTATTCTATGCTTTGTGGTCACAGACACAATGAAATTCTTGGGAGTAGATATAGTAGCATATCCAGCAGAGATTCTGGATTCTGTAAGAGTATTTTAAAAAAGAGCAGTGGTAAGGTAGTTTGGATGTCTTGGTATAAAAGTGCAACTTTAACCTTTCACAGTTTTATTATTTGAACATTATATTATAATGTTCAGGGGGTTATCTTAAAATTCTATGTAAAATTCATACTTTTGAAGACCAGACATAAAAGACATCATTTCTTCTAATACTAGTATTACATCAGACAGTGTTGAGTCGAGTGATGTTAATGTTTAAAAAGAATATGAAAATACTGAAACTCTTCTACTGTAAGGAGTTTTCCCTATTTTACTGATGGGTTGAATAATACTGAGTTTTGGTAGATTTTGCATATTGCAAGAAATTTTAGAAATTCAAAGCAGCAGCACTGTCATAGTTTGTTGTATAATTAAAGGTCACCTTCAGTCTCCAGAAATGCAGATGCAGCTGATTACAACAGGAGTTCATGGTGATCTGAGTAGAAACTTGGGCCTGCAGTCCCTGATCTTCTCTGATATTTAGTCTTGGTGTTTACAGATAAAGAAACTTTGCAGGCAGTTGTTATTAGAAAAAGAAAAGATAAAGGATATCTCTGGAGGTAAAATGCTGAAGATACTTTGACATCACTAGCATCAGTTTGTTGTATTACAAAGCTGTGAAATATGAGCTTCTATGTAAAACGGCTGTGCTTTTTCTGCTAAAAAGAAGAGTTTATGTTTAATAGTTATATTAAAAAACAGAACCAACATTAGCATGTTAAGGTTGAAAATTGAATTATAAACCCTTGGTAGTTCACATTTTTGTGGGCTATTTTGGTCAAGTGTATTCTTGACATTATGTCAAAGCATTATTTTTACAGTCTATATGAACCCCAGGATTCAAAACATACACTGTTAACAGTTTTTCACCAACAAAATTCATGTTGCAGCATGAGAACCTTTATAAACATAAATAGCAATTTGAAGCAAAGATTAAAAGCACTTCTGGTTGTTTTAGCCATGCTGAAAGAAGTGGAATGATGTAAACAATGGAATAATAGCCTTGCTTTTTCTTCAGTATTCCTATAATAATGGCAATCCCTGAATCTAATACCCTTATTGTACATTCCAGAAACTGTTCTTGAGGTTCACATGGTGGGTCTCTTTCAAGTCGATAATTTATGTAATTCAAAAACTTTTTTTACTCTTTTAAAGTATAATTTCATTCTGACAATTAATTATAGCTCTAATTGACTCAGTCATTAATCGTAATTTGTATCCTGTGCAGTATGATAGTGAACAAGGTCATGTACACTACCGTCATAACCCCTTTGAGGATCAAACTCAAAAGGCTCCATTATATTAATTACTATTTATTACAATAGCTTGTAGGAAAAAAAGCACATATTTTGAGAACACTATTGACTATTTACTACAACACCTTATGGGAAAATAGTGTGACTGAGAAGATTTAGATTCTTTTGTGGCTGCCATTTTGAAATTCTTGTCAGACAAGTTTGAGAACACTATTGACTATTTACTACAACACCTTATGGGAAAATAGTGTGAATGAGAAGATTTGGAGTCTTTTGCTGCTGTCATTTTGAAATTCTTGTCAGTCAGGTTTCAGGACTGAACAACAATAAAGTCACACTTGGTTACAGTTTCTGACAGTGAATTTTATACAGTGTATTCATCTGTTTAGGAGTAGTGCTTTCATACTTACTACTGACAAGGAATAGAAAAATAAATACGAATAAATTTTGCTTATAATATGAACAGATTGGGTTTTTTTTCTTAGAAATACACGCTAACTTCCTGACATGCCAGTTCCCTTACTTTCAATTATAATGCTATATTAGTATTGAATTTTATATTAAATTTTCTGTTTATTAGGAAATGTCAGAAATGTGTATCAGTGCCAGTGGGCTACTGAGAAGATGTGATTCAGCTACTGAATTTCCTCAGTAGCAGGTGTGTGTAATTTACACCCCATAGACTAACAGAAAGGTGGAATTTCGGCAGCCTAGCTTAAGGAAGAATAGTCTATCTTTTTATATCCTGGTGGAAGGTTTTGGTTAAAGACCACAGACTTTTCCTTCAAGCATTTTTTCTACTGGAGGAGACCACAGGAGCTGAGGTCATTCGGCATTCAGTTCATGAGCTGGAAACTGGCAGGCCTGCATTCTGAACCTGCATGGCAGGATGGAGCAGAGACATCAGGCAGAAGCTGGCCATGGGTTCAGGAGGAGCTTTCGAGGAAGAGCCTTAGGGCATTTAGGGAAAAAATTTCCTAAATGCGTGCTTGAGATGATGCACTGTTGTCAGAACCCAGGACATCCCTTTGGATGACCTGAATGGCTCAAAATCCTGGAGGGGCTCGAAGACCCTGGCAAGAAGCCAGAGACACTTGGGAATTCAATCTCAACCCATACAGTAAATTAGCAACTTTATATGAAGAATTACAAGTCACAAAAGTTTAAGTAACGTAACAGTAGTTGTCACAAGGTGAAAGGTGGAATTTTGAAGAATTTTACTATGAGGGTCTAGGAAACAAGACAGAAGAATTTAAGTGTTGTCCTGTTCTTCTTCCTTCTTCTTCCTAGCCTCCATCTTCTTGGTATAAGTAAGATTAGTGTAGAATAGAAAGTCACTGTCTAACATAGATAATAAGTATTTGAAAATAACTAAACATAAAGTACATGTAATTTTTAGTATAAAGAAATAGCACCGCCTCAAGGCAGTGCAGTGTGCCTCAGACTGACCAGCTAAACAAACCTCAGCAAGCCAAACAAAAAATGTTTTAAATAAGAAATAATAAACAACCTTGAAAACACAAACCGAAAACTTCTAACTCCTTTTTCGACAGCTAAGTTAAAAAAAAAAAAAGACTTTTAATATATCTCAAAGTCATCTCAACCAAAAGAAATCCCAAGACACTGTCATTTAGAGCAGCGGGGGGAAGTCCCTCCCAGGGCTGTGTTTTGGGCTCAGCCCCTACTCCTTCCTAAGGAGTCTGGCAGCAATTCCCATTGCTTTATCAGAAGGACAAGATGAGGTTTGGGCATGGCTCCCACTCCTGTCTTATTTCACGTCTGAAGTCACTTCAACTTCCTGTAAGAAAAACTGTAAGATGCTCAGCCCTGCCACAGGAGCGCTGGAAATTGAGTCCAAATTCCTCATTTAGGCTCTTTCTTTTCTTCCTTTGGCTGCCCTCCTCTGCAGCAGCAGTCTCAGAGAGGAAGGATGGCTGTGTTGGCTGCAGGCTGCCAGAGTGAGCTGGGGCTGCCAGTCTAACAAGTGCAGACTGGTCTGCCCAGAGTCTCCATGCAACCACCACCTCTCCTTCAGTAACCAAAACATCTGCACATCTGGGGAAGCTGCCTGCTGGCTCTGTGCCTTCGCAGCATTAACATTCCCACAGTCCAAACTAATAGCAGCAGCAATAGCTGGCTAGCAGGTAATACCCAGATGTTGGTGCAGCCTATCCTGAAAACTACACATGTATATCTGGAGGCATTCTGTTTGCCCAGAGGAGGCTGATTATAGTGCATAGTGTTGTAATCACATGCAGATTATTTAAAGTTGGTTTTTTAATTTACAGAGTTAATGTACTGTAAAACCATTAAGTCTGACCTCCAAACCAAGTCACTTATACTTGGCTGGGAAGTTTGTTCATCTTCCCTCATACCTTCTCTTTTCCCACGCCTGGTTGTTGAATAGTTAAGATTCTGGAGGTTAGGTGATTTTTTTTTTTGACTCATCTGGCTGCTCTGTATTAATGTATTCAAATTTCTTTTTTTCTTTTATTTTTAATTTTTTTTAAAGAAGTAAGGAAAAGGGAGCATTACAGATTTACTAGAAAAACAATTTGATGATGCATGTACCAAATGCATTACCAGGATTTCCTTGTACTCCCTATTTTAGAAAATAATTTTAATACCTCTCAATTAAATCTAATATTTAAGCAGCAGGGTGTTTTGGCAGAAGCCAACTGCCACGCACTAATGAACTCTTATAATTTGCTAAATTATTTTAAATGAATGACAGTACATTTAGCTTTTTAATGACTGTACATTTAACTTCTGAACAACTTTGATCAAGTCCACTTTTAGTTAGACTGCCTGCTGTGCTAAACTCTTAATTCCCAAACCCTACTCAGTTATTCAGAAAAATTTTTAATCATAATCATTAAATTATTTTCTGTTTCAGAAACACAAAGTCTGCTGGAGAGTACTTGGCCAATTCATTACTTTTCTTTACCTGCCCTCAGTGCTAAGTCTAGATGAGGCTTAGTGTTTGACAGTACTTTGTGTAAAGACAACTGGAGAGCTTTCTTTTTTTAATTGGGAGATCTCTATTTTGCAAGGTGTTGCCTTTCTAACGAATACCTATGTTTTTTGCCAATTATATAAGCTGCCACAGTTACAAAACTTGAGCTAAAATTTGGTTCATTTTTTTAGTTCCTGGTTGGATTCTGTACATGCCTTGGGTAAAGTCAAAACATGAGACAAATTATTCCTGCTTCCTTTTGTACTGTGAAGTCACACCATTTGTTGAGCCTGGTAGAAAGAGCTAAGCTGAAGTGTTCCTTTTCTCTTGTGGATCAGAGTACAACTGAGAAAATGAAGACTCCCACCAAGCTTTTATTTTTCAAGGGAATATGCATTTCTATTCTCTCCTGCTACCCAGTCTCCCCTAGGAATTTGATATTTAATGCCTAAGATGTGCAATGGATATTTTTCTTTAGTGCTGCACATCTTATTTGTTCACCTTTTACTTGTGCACATCTGTATTGAAACTGTATGTGCTTATATAGGCTACACAACCTCAGGTTTTGCCTTGGACTCAATTACCATCAATCTCAGGCTAAAAAATACCAAGAAGCAACAGCCCAGCTTATAAGGTTTTTGTGAAACTATGATAACAATAACTGAGGAAATTATTATTTTAAACTATTACCCTGCTCATCTCTCTTCAGATCTTCCATCTTCAGATATCTCTTTTAATTACTTTTCCCCACTCCTACAGCATATAGTTCCATCAGAAATCTCTGTTGGTCTTGAGCAGAGTTCTCCAAATTATCATAATATCTATTTGCTGTATTATATGATATTTACCTTTTACCAAGTGTTTTTTCTCTAGCAGGCACTTAGATATGCATGACAAGTGTTATAGTGAAAGAATTACATTTAGAGCTGACTCTCTTCTCACCAAGAAATATACAAAGGCGAATCAAGACACAGATTATTCACACAGATCTAGCAAGAATCTGCATTTGTCTTTGCAAAAATCCCTAATGTATATTTATTTAAGTCTTTACATTTTCAAAAATGTTTCAAATGTCACTGTGCATTATATGTTTTGTATGTGATTATCAGAAGATATATACTTTTAAACAAAGATTTTAATACTGTTTGAAGATAGGAATTATTAGCATTTTAGTAAGACAGACTGTCCTCCTTTGTTTTTTCTTGATTTCGTAGGGAAATATGTTTACAACTGAACATGGTGACGTGACAATCATTCAGTAGAGGAGATGCTATTTAGCCTAATTGTGGTTTTTTGTTTGCCAGTGGCCTACTGTCCCACTAGCTTCAGCTCTGAGCTTCCCACTGTGTGTGCATGCCCTGTGGTTAAAACCACACCTTGCAAAAGCATGATGTGCATGTGGAAATCACATTAGAAAGCCACACAGAATCAACAGTTGGCTTCAAAGAGCCTTCCTGTCTCTTCCAGTAAAATTTCTGCTTTTGTAGCACATCCCAACTGTTCACTGAAGTTACAGGATAAACCTAAAACTTTTGCAATAAATGTCAGCTTTACAAAATCCTCCAAAAAGGTGTCACCAGTTTCTTGCATTTATTTGCATTTACATCCTCTAAAATACTTAAATGTAGTGCCCTTAAAGCAAAAAAAACCCCCTGAGTAGTCAAAAAGACAGCCATGCAGTGATAAACATGGCCTAAACAGAAGTAATTTCATTTTTATGAGCTGGAAAATCTGAAAGGTAGGTAAGGCCTGCCAACTCCCACATGGTGAAAGCCACCTCTGTACAATATTATAATTGCACCGGTGAAAGACACGAGTTTTATAAACCCCCTGGGAGCGTTCAGATCTGGAGAAGCCTTGCGTTAGCTCTTGAACAGAAGGGCTGTGAGGAAGCAGCCGAGCTCTGCCCTCCTGCCGTGCTGCAGCCAGCTCCTGCGGCCGCGGCCGCGCGTGCCCGCGCGCCTGCAGATGGTCCCTTGTGCTCTGGAGCTGCTCCTGCTAGGTGTGCTAACCTGCTCTTCGGGAGCCCCGAGCCGCCTCCTGCCCTGGGAAGAGCATATGGCGAGGCATACGGTCCCCGTGAGGCCTCCTTATGGCCTGCTTGTGTAAGCGGCTGGGTGTGAGACTGAAGGCCAAGTGTCAGAGACATCTCTGTGTCACAGCAACACCATCCTGTCAAGTGTTGCTCTGCGTATGAGAGGAAATGTGGAAAACAAACCAAAATCCAAGCTCCCTCCTGTCTGTCTTAGGAAAGAGAAGCCATTTAAAAATGTTATGTTCCATGAAGATAAAATACCAGAGGTCTTTCATTTTAAAGCTTCACAATGGAGTTTTCACGAGGGATTTGGTTTCTCTGGAAGTCTGTTGAATAAGAGACCCATTGACTCTAGGAAAGCCCAGCCCCAATACCTCCCACTGAGTTTGTGTGAAGATAGCAGCCTAATTTAGAAAACCGAAAAGCACAGCTATGTGGGAGGACAAACCCTGTCAAAAGAAGAGGGACTCACGGAAGTTACCAACAAGATACAGCACACAGCCTGCACAGGACACCTCTTACTCCTATCATTCCCACTTCAGCATTCATAGATTTATTTTGGATTTTTGTTGCTTTTAAATTAATCCTGAAGAAGTTTTCTCGGTGACATTGTTCCCAGTGGGTCATCTTGTGTTTCCCCCAGCTGGCTCCACAGGGTTGCCCCATGTGCCACTGGGTGTTTCTCTGCTATCTCCCATACATGGGGACGAGTGACAGGCGAAATTAGCACCCAGTAGTGAAGGAAATTTTCGTGGCCTGTATTTATTTAACTCATCGTTTATGCCAGACCATCATTTGACCCCTAAATACAACGATTGAATTGAATTGGTTTGTTTGTTTTAAATAAACTGCTGGAAGTCACAAGGAGCCATGTGTATCAATTCAGTATGTTAAATCTTAGCCATTATACAGATACAAATTCTGGATGAGTTAACTTCAATAGAGGTTAAAATAATGAATGGATGTTTTTATGATCTGAAGCTGTGGTCCACCTCTTCCGCTCAACAGAGATGCCATTCCTTTTAAAAAACTTCAGATTTTCCCTCTGAATGTGTCCCTAAAGAAAAGTTGTTCTGAAAGTGCTGAGTTAATTCAAGATTGCCAGCATTTCAGGTTGATGGTTTCAGTGGGGCATATAAATCTCCAAACAGCAAAGGAATAAATGGAAATCTTGGATCAGTTTAGTTCTTGGATTGGCATAATTTCCTTTTTTTTAAAATTCTGTTGATGAAATTTTAAAACACTTCAAAAATACCTGCTGATTGGTTGTGCTACTGTTCCTCAGTTTAAAGACAACACTTGGAGGGCTGGTTTGCTACCTCGGACAATACACTACAATTCTGGAAAGAATCCCATGCAGAAAAACTGTTACTCATTAAATTTATGTTCTCTAAACTCTGAACATTATTTGCAAGTTTATTTTATTGTTAGCCTATTTCTAAGCAGTTTGGCTACAGTGCTTTATTGCCTAAGGTACAAGTGATAATTCTAAGCATGTGCCTATTTTTATTTTTTTGCTTTATATTTTATGTGCTAATACACTGCTTTAAACTTTAATTTAGTTCTTCCAGTGTTTGCAGTACAACTTTGATTTTTAAAAAATCTACAAATGTAATAAAACAATCAGTCATAAACAAAGGAGGTCTTAGTTCTTACTGTTCTTTGTCCCATGGAAGATGGTAAGTAACACTTCATGTATGATAAATCATCTCTCTTCATCTGTTTTTTTTTTCTTTACATAGATGAAGATGTCAAACCATTTACTCCTGAGAAAACCAAGGAAATTGTGATGTCGCTACAGCAACCTGCAGTCTTCTGTAACATGGTTGGCAACTGGCCAGCCCTGCACTGGAATGTGAAATACCTTTCTGCTGTGCTGGAGGGAAAGGCAATCCAGTTTAGGCTGGGCCTGAAGACAGTGGATTTAGGTGAGAATGAGGTGGACAGGCATTAATGTCACAAGTCTCTTTTTCAGGTCCTGCAATTATCTGCTTTTTCATTATAACTGTTTTTTCTCTAATGTATTGCTTTTTATTGCAGTCTTTGTTTTTAGGAATGGGATTTGTCCAGCAGTAGAACTCCCCCTTCTCTTTCTCACGTGTTTATTTTCAGTAAGATGTCTGGGGAGTAACACCAGCATTTAAGAACCAAGTCTCTCAGTTTTCCTTCCTTGCTCTGTAGTGTGTGTGTTTGGTCCTCGTCTTATACATGATTAGATTGTTCACATGAGCTGAGCTTCCATCTCCATAAGCCTGACTGTGTTAAGGAGTTAGCTAAATAATCAGCCAGAATTGGGGTGTTTATCTGTATGGTAGTAATTCTCACCTTCCTCCAGAGTTTTTTAAGACTTGGGTGATTTTCAGTACTTTAAGGTCCTATGATGGAAGACATAATGGAAATATAAAGCATTAAGAAAATCATTTGACATCAGTGCAATAATTTCACTGCTAACCCTCCAGATTCTGTCATACATCTTGGAACATGCCATGGGAGAAAGACAATTTTCCAACTTGATTTTAAATACTACAACTTCATCTCTGTCTGTAGCTACATAGTAGTGTGTCCATGGACAGACTGAGTTTCATACCATGGAGGGGAGATAGTAGAAACATGTTCCATCTGCTATTTACTTGAAAGGTTCTGCACTGCTTTATCCCTGCCCTTTACATCCTTTGCCCTCCCAACGACATACCAAAATATGTTTTGCCATGCACTTTCTCCCTTTTGCCTATAAACTTTCTTGACTACCTTTAGGATTTTTTTTAACCCTTAGGTCAGAAAAATCCACTTTAAAAATATTGAATATGTCATGGTCTTTTAGATCCCACCCAACTATTCTTTCTGTAGTCTTCTAACCTTTTTCAGTTGGACTTCCTCTTTCTTGGAATGTAGAGTCTGCACAAAGACTCCAGATGAGGGTCTGCCAGTTCCAGTGACAGTGGTAGGATTACATCATGCTATCTTACTTAACACTGTGAAATTTGCTTTCTTCACAGCATCATGACCATGTTATTTCATGTTCAATTTTTGCAAGAGAAGTGATGAAACAGAACTGTTAGAGAGAAAATGCTTGGCGTGTTAGGATTTCAAAGCATTTTACCAGCATGGATTAATGATTTCTGTGCCATTCCTGGGGGGAAGAGATATTATTTACTCACTTTCTACAGATGGGAAAACTGAGGTGTAGAATTAAAACCTTGGTACGCATCTTCATAGCAATATCTCTGTCATTCAATGAGGTACCACCTAATTCTTGCACTAAGTGTGAAATGCATCCCATTGCCAATAGAGAAGGAGAGAAGGTGTAGCATATATATGTGTATATATATATATGTAGGTTACACTTTCCTTGTTGCCTATATACCTTGTAACATTATACTTATTAATATATCTGAGTTGTAACACATAAGGCCTACCAGATAAAACAGTAGTTTTGGTCCTACTCTCCATTAATTAGTAGGCACTTTTTGAGAGCCAGATGGATGTTCCAACTGGCAGAGTTTCTGATGGGACTGATGGAGTGTTATGTAGCTAAGTCACAGATTGATGCTACCAACTGAGTAGATAAGAGTCATCACTTAACAATAACTTGTAGTCACTAGAGATACAGAGTGGATTTAAATTGGAATTTATATCTTGAAGCATCTAACTGCATTTCGCTTTTTCCTAAAGGCATTTATCCCTGTGCAGCAATCAGTTTGTCTCCAGGAGCCTCCATTATGTGGTAATGTTGGTTAGAATTGTCTTCAAGGAGATTGGTACAGCCTTCAGGGGTTATATTGTAACTGAATGAGACCTGTGATGCCATAAAAAAATTTCAATATAAGAATATATTAGTGAAGCCATTATCCAAGCCATCTCAGAGTCTGAAATAATGTAATACATTCCATGTGCCACTGTCATTTGGAAGGTGGTTGATCTCACTATTGCATGCTTAAAACTACTTTTAATGAGGGCCTCTCTTTCTTATTGTTCCTGCTAACTTTCCTAGGTGAAATGGAGCCAGTTATCTGCTCAGAGAGAGAACAGAATTTCTATTTTAGAATACAACTAAAATTGCATTGATCCCTCTGAATATTCCTTCCATGTTCACAAGAGGTTTATTGCCTTAAGACTAGGTGGGACGACTCCTTCTATGGAGTTGGAAATGCAGAAGAAAAAATCCACTCTCCTGCTTAAAGGCACATTCTGGTGACAGTCTGAAATGGCAGCTTCAGAGTTTCTGAGGTTATTTAAGTGAGGTTCATCCGGAAAACTCAAAATTCATGGAGATCTCTTACTACAGCAGCTCCTCATCTTTCTTTAGTGCCACATCTGCAGCCTGGATGGGTTTCCCAAGCTGAAGATTCCTTAATGTACAAAAGTGAGAATTGCAAATGGGGCAACTTGGTGGGAGTTGCGAGGATTTTATATTTGCTTTTCTTACTAGTTTGTAACTTCCTGAGGGAAATCGATGTGGATGGCACATTTGCAACATGGAAAAATGTGAGAGCTGGCAGTATTATTTGTGTATATTATTTGTACCTAAGTATGTGTTTGATAGTATTCTGTCTGATTTCACAAGTTAAACAGTTTGTGTCCGTAAGAAAGGGAAAAAACTACAATCAGAGGACTAAGCATTGACAAAAGATACCTTCAAAGAGAGTACCAGAGTTCATTACAAGAACAGTGAAGATGCTATTAATCAGGAAATCCCGACACAGCTGGTTCCAGTCACACTAAAAGATTTATAAGGATGGGATAAGGGGTAGGCCAAAGCTTCAGAAGTTTTGATTCTGGCAGAGAAAATGTAGCATTACAGCTGTTGTGTCTGACAGCTACCTGGAGCACACCAGCACAAAGTTAGGAGAAAACTTACGCAGAACTGATTTCTGTATGCAGGCATTTCTTGTTTTGACCATTTTTGGTGGTTGCATAGTAAAATGAATCAACAATGAGTTTACTGTGAAGAAGCTGGAGAGAACAAGAAGCTGTCATGCTGATCAGTTTCTGAGTCACAGGATCTCTGGAGGATGTTTCTCTCACTGATGCTGGATTGAGCTGATGCTGTCAGATGTGCAGTTGGATAGGAAAGGGCTGCAACGTGACCATCTTGCCAAAGAGGTTTTACCTTTACCTTTAAAACTAAGGATGGCAAAATAATTCAGGTCTCTGAGGTTTGATATAGAGGGAGACTGCAAAGGTGGCTGCAGAATCAGCAGCTGAATAGGACGCTGAAAATACAGCACAAACACTGATTAAATTTTGCATAAAGCTGAGATCTGAAGTGGTTATTGGAGTTGGATGTGCATGGCCAGGTTTTTTTGTTTGTGAGTATGCTTGTGCTTTGTTAGAGTAGGAAGTGGCTATTCCTTGCTTGGATTATTTGTTTAATTCCCCAGCAGCTGTGAATAGGGGTTTGGTTTTCTGTAAAGAAATGGAGAAGATATTTCACTTGCATTCTTAATGGAGCTTTAGGTGTTTTCTAAGGCTATTACACCTTTTTTTCCTACATGTTTCCTTGCAAACACTCTGAGAAGAACAGATTTTGGCAACTGTCAGAACCAGACCTTAACTAAGGAGGAGAGCTGCTTCTCTAAAACCCACTTTTTCCCTCTCTCCTTCCCTCCAGTTTCAATCTGTGGTATTAGGGGAAAGAGGAGGACTGTTATGCCTTCAGGTACTGTGTCATCAGACAGAAGTGGCAGCCTACTTTAGACTTGCATGGCTTAATCTGCAATTTGTCAATTACAAAACACCCTCAGCTTTAAGTCATTAAGTATTAGCAAACCAGTTAATAATGTCTTGCTTTCCATTGCTTGTTGCTAACATTTTCACCCTTGTTGCAGCCTACAACCTACAAACCCATCTAAGCAAACTGTCTAGATTGCCCAAATATGTTTTTTATTACTATTTATTTTTCCATAAGCACCCACACCTTGGTACTGAATAAGGGATAAATCAAACCAAGAACCCTGCCCTGAGGAGATTGTATTCTACAAGATAGTCTTGCCTTTCATAGTTGGATTTTTTTTAAATGAAACTCAGAGTGAAATATGCTGAGAGGTAGAAAGAGCACATTTCTTGCCTTTAAAACATTTGCTTCTGAGTTATCTTGGAAAATAGGCAGTGTCCTAAGAGTGTCATGAAGTGAAAAAAGAATGTCCTCTTTTTTCTCATGAATGTAATACAGATATCGAGGCACCTTCAGTATTGCTTCTATCTTTTGTCTAATCTTTCTGTCAGACCACCTTTTAGTAAAATGATAAACATTGCATTAAAACCTGGGTATCAGGAGAGGGACTGAAACACAGATATGGGATCCGATACAGAGGGTTTTGGTTGTGATTTTGTGACTTGCAAGTGATTCATATGTCTTGTATGCAGTCCTTAGGTAGGGAGCCCATCCACTGACATTTTTAGTTAATGATTTGATAGTAGTGGGAAGGAAACCACTACCTCTGCTACTACAAGGGAAAATAATAGTGATAAAGGTTTGTAAAAGCTGTGTGAGATTCTGTGAGACCTGCTGCAGTAACAAAATGAAAGTGGTAAAGAAAGAAGAGCTGCTGCTGCACAGCAGTGAAAGGGTCCCATTTCTGGGCAGCTCTCTGCAAGTTACACAAGATTAAATTGCAGCTCTGTCATTGTCATTCATGCAGGCTGCAGTAATTTTTCCCCAGTAGTAGTTATAGTAAAGTAATATTTTTTTTAACAGTGGATAAGTCTCTTTGAAGATGGCACAGTTAGTGGGGGTGGGAAATTAAAATCTCTGATTAACTGCAATTAAAATATACTGTGCTGTGGGTTATCTTACAGGCCTTGCAAGTGACCTGACCTTGAGCTGAAAGGCTGTATCAGTCAGCCTGACCAAAGCATGCTGGGAGCAAAACCCTGCTGGTAAACACTTTCTGTGTCTGCCAAGGAGCACTGCAATATGCTTTTGTCAGTCCCAAATGAAAAATAAGGGCACACAGCATTTTAGATGGATCATTGGCAACATGTGTGTGGTTCCATACCTCACTTTCTATGCATGACCACACTGGTTTGGTCATTGCTTTAGGGAAAGGGTAAGATGAACGTGTCCATCTGCATAAATCTATGGAGGCAAAATAAAGGATACAGAAATACTTGATGTGCACATTTGCAACTCACACTTAGGAAGGGAGATGAAGCAAAGTTGTTTAGTGAACTTGGGTGTGTTATTGAGTTACTGTGCTGAAGAACAATGCTAACTATTGGTCTGCTTTTGTCTCACAGCATGTTCAAGGTAACAGCCATTCAATTAAACCTTAATGAAAAAGCAATAGTTTCAGACTTTACTTATGAGTTAGGTCATGAGAACCATTTTATTGAGCAGAGTCAAGCTACCTACTCAGATTTGTATCTCATGTTGCATTTAACCAGAGCTGTATTATTTTTACTGGTTCTATGCTCAATGCTCGTGTAATATTTGATTTTTCTTTTGCTGCTGTAGTTCCCCAGTTTGAAACCAGTTGTAGCTACGTGGAAGCTACACTTGAGGAGTTTTTGGCTTGGAGTTCTGGGCAGCCTTCTTGTCTCTCTGGACCATTCAGTTGTTATGATTACTCCAAATACTGGGCTTATGCTGACTACAAGTACATTGCCAGGATATTTGAAGACAAGCCAGAAATATTCCAGGTAAAACATTTATATTATCTCTTCCTAGTTGAACCATTGCAAATTATCTAATGTAGCTTCTGAAATCACTACTGCTATCCCTCTCTGCTCCTTTAGCCACTTATTTTAAAATTCTGAAATAAAAGCTATTAGCTCTCAGGCTAACTGAATCCTGCCAAGTGGCAGCCGTCAAAAATTCTGGGTCTCCTTACAAATTTAGAAACAGCACCTCAACTGACAAAAAAGAATTACCAGGCTGGCATAATTCTCCTTCCCATTTAGGCCAGATCCACCTTGCACCCAAATGGTGCCCAAATTAACAGCTCCACTCAGGAGGGAGGATTGATGGCATGTATTTCATTGTAGTAACAAGGCTGTAACATGGCTTTGCTCCATTTTGCCTTGTGGCTCATTTTCTTAAGTAGCTCAGCTCCTTTCCTTAATAGAATTAGATTAACTGTTTGTGAGGAGGAGAGATTCTGTGGAGGCAGTAAAGTACAGGAAGTAACCTGTCCATGGAAGTCTGTAATTACCATACACAGTAGGACAACTACCCAAGGTATTTCCTTTTATTTTCTCTTTGTCTATCTCCTATTCCAATGTCTTGCTTCATCTACATTCAAGCTACTTCTCCTTGCAAATTGTAAGAGGGCAAAATTAAGGATAGCTGTACAAAAGGTATACTTCTTCAAAAGATGTAAAGAAAGAGTAAGTAAATCCTTATTCACTTCTGTACTTCGAAAGGTGAAACTGGAATCATAATTCCCTGTAAAATCACTGCATCAGTGACAATGAGTATGAACTGATAAGCCCCCTTCAAATTAATTATTTCCTCAGACAGTGTTTCCCATGCTCCTCATATGTATTTTATTCTTTTGTAAAATTGGTGGTTTTCAGTGATCAGTCTTTTTTCAGACTTTCAGACTTTTCAGACTTTCTGTTGGGTCGGAAGGTAAGGTTTGGGCACAGAGATCATCTTACCTCTCTTTCCCCCTTCCTTTTCCTGAGCACACTGAAACATAACCAGGATCACATAACCTTGGGCTGGTTTGTGTTGTCTGCACTAAACTGGAAGCTGCAGGGAGGTTTCAGGCTTCCCCAGATCTCTGCATAACTTTCTCTGTGGTCCTGTCTTGGTCTTCTCTTTTTCTGCCTCCACAGACAGCATTTCCATGTGTCTTCCAGCACAAGCCAATAGCAGCTCAGAAGTCCTGAATGTCCTACTGCCTCCTTCACATTTGAAGGAAACAACCGTTTTCTACCTTTTTCTTTCCCTTGCCCCCATTCAAGAACAAAGCTGAGGCTCCAGGAGTTGCATTTCTGTGCAGGTGCCATGCCACAATCTGATCACCTGACCTAACACACAACAGATTGTACTGCAGTTTTAGAACAGACACACATAATGGTTATGCCATGGATTTTTTTGAAAAGCAGAACCTGGGAAGGAAAGAATTGGTGGTGTTATGCAAGCAAATATGGTGTGTGTCATCTGCCATTTTCACAGGCATGGGAGAGAAATGCATCCATCAGTTCCACACTCACACGGTTTTTTAAACAATTTATACCAGCCAAAGGAGTTCTTTGTAGAAATTCTCTTCCCTTCTTGTGTGAATTTGATGATAACTCCATTTTTTCCTTCTAGATTTTATTTAGATTTACGTGAGGTTATTTGAAGGGGAAAAGAAGGCCAACTGCACTGTTATTTATAGTGATTAATAGGGCCATTTAGAAGTTGTTTGAAATTTAGATTGCACTGTTTATCATTTACAGTTGTGTGGGCTAAGGTAATGATTCCATTATTCTAATCTATGAGCAATATCTAGCATCTTACATTTTTTGTTCAGTTGATATTTCATTACAGAATTTGAGATATAAATCAGGAGCAAGATACATGCATGAAGTTTAAATAGAAATGAGACCTTTTAAAGTGACATACGGGTACAGATTAACTTCATTATAAGCAGCAAATGAAATAAATATATATCACAAGTAATGTGCCATCTGTTATGGTTGGAACACCTTTTAGTGCATTTCTTCTTACTGTGGCTTTTTATTGTAGAAAAGGAGCCCAGTGTGACAAGATTTCAGTAATACTACCAGTTCCTTTTCAGTTCATTGGTTAAAAACTATTTTACCCATAATCGCTTCAACTATTTACTACAGCAGGAGCAGTTTCAAAAAGTTCTTTTAAATCTAATATTGATTATGTGTGCTTTCTTTTCACTTAAATTGTAACAAAATATAAAAACTATTTAGGTGTGAGATTAAAGTGTAGAAATGGTGCTACGCTTAACTTTTTCACTGAAATAGTTGTATTGAATTTCAAATTTTATGCCTGCTGAAATCTATAGAAGCAACTTTTTCTTTTTGATCTTTTGCTGTCTTTGACAAATGTTTATATTACACTTCTGCATTTTTTTCAAATGATATCTTTAAAATCAATAACTCTGAAATTCAGAATCTTTAGCAACACCTAATTTTTGGGAAGGCTATCACTCACTTTGAGGGTCTCCTGATGCAGAGTCGTGGTGAAGTCATCCTTATAATGTCTAGTTGTAGTTTTTGTCATCCATAGATCTTAAAAAAGGATAGTCATCCACCTGTCTGCAAGCAGCAAGCTTACATACTTAAATTAGGACTCCTAGACTCCTATTTTCTCTTTATAGACAGCAGAAAGAGAGGCTTTTCCAAGGCTTGATTGAGAGTGCTTTGACTAGAGCAGGAGCCAAGATTAAATTAGGTTCCTAAAGTTAGGTGATGTGAACGACCCCAAAGTGCTTTACTGAAATGGAACAAATACCATTATCTTCCTTTTCAAGATGGGAAAAATAAAACTCAGAGATGAAGCGATTTGCCCAAGACCATCGGGAAGCCAGAAATTTAATCTGTTTCCTAAGGCTCAGTCTGGGGCTCCAGCCAAAAGGTGCCAGTATCTCTGGCCAGTATTCCTCAAGTGCTTTCCAATAAACAAATGATCAGGCCCTGCAGGTGGCAGGGAGAGCTGTAGATACATGGGAAAGCTTTATCCAAGCTACACAGAACCATTCTGCAAAACCCTTGGATTGTCTGAAAAATGCCTCACTGTGCCTTTTTCCAACTGCCAACCCCAAGGGATTGCTTGTGGGAGGATCAATGGACTGGAAAGATCCAGCACTGTGTACACCTGTTCTGCCCTTTCTCCTGTCATCAAGTTGTTTTAAGTTCACTTGCCTCTGCAGTTGCAAATGTGTCCATTAAATAATAAGAAACTTAACCTGCCATAACACTGGGTCACAGATGGGGTAAAGTCTGTGTTCCCAGACTATGTGGAGAAAGCTGAAATAGGAGCAAGGAGAGAGCAAAAATTCCACATAGATTATCAATTGTTTGAAAAGGGAATGGGGATTTTTCTTTCCTTCTTTCCTTTCATTATCTTTTAAAATGCCATATATAAGAATTTTTCTAAAAGCAATCCTGAGCTTGGGTGGACAGTTAAGGGTGGAGAGAGATAAAAAAAGAGTGTTTGAAAGGAAAAGAAGCCCCATGTGGCCATGCAAATTTGGGCAGCCCTTCTGTAGAGCAAAGGAGTAACTTGAGTGATATGAAAGGTGGGGATGAGAATTTTGGAGGAAGGGGAACAGACTGTGCATGCTCCAGAACCCAACCAGGGAAAAACAGCTGCAGTGGATAAAGAGTGATGAGCAGTGGAAGGAGAAGACAGGAGACTCTGAGAACTAAGGACAGGATGTCAGTCAGTTCAACAGCTTACATAAATAAACCTTTTTGTTGCTGTAGGATGTAAGGTGGTCTGACTTTGGTTTTCCTGGAAGAAGTGGAAAAGAGAGCACACTGTGGATTGGTTCTGAAGGAGCAAACACCCCCTGCCATTTGGACTCCTACGGCTGCAACTTAGTGCTGCAAGTACAAGGAAGGTAACAAGTGCACATACATACAGTAAATTCAGGGGAGAGTTATACTGTGCATCAAGTTTGTTTTGGACTCTTTTAGTATTAATTCTAGGTCCTGATGATTTCAGATTTCAGTTTTCTGAGTTCTCAATGACTGAAGAGCACCCTAACTGTTCTACAGGAAATGGCAGAACTTGAGGGCATTCTGGAGTTGACACAATTTTATTTTCTAGTCTGTGTGTCATATGGTCCAATTATAAACACTTTAATCTTTCTAGTAGTTATGAATTCAGGAATTTGGAATGAGGAGATAAAAGAGTTAAAAATAAAAAGCCCCCAAACAAAATAGAAATAAACTACTTTAGACTTTTACAATATTGTCTGTGCAAGAGCCTCTAATAGCCTGCTAGATTTAATTTAAAAGGGGACCATCAGGATGGGAGCAGCCAGCTGTGAGCAAAGTTGAAAGGGACATTTGAGGCTCCAAACTCATTTAGGAGCATGTGGCTGTTGCTGTATCTTTCTGCCTGTTTGCATGCTGTCTTCCTTTTTTTTTCCAATTCTTTCTTTTTTCTCCTTTCCTTGCATAGTGGCCTCAGGGTTGGTGGGGTTTTTCTGATTTTTGGGTTGTTATCTATTATTGCTAGAGTAGTGCTAGAGTAACAGAAAAAGTTGCACACACTTTCTATGCTTGATAGTATAGAGTGGAAGGAGAAATCTGCTAGGGGTTTTTCAATGGGATTAATTACTCTGCCATTTTATAGAACAGTAAGATTGTGGTGCTGTTGTGATTAAGGTGCAGGATTGGAAGTCAGGTGTGTTGCCTTTTAGCTGGGCAGTGCCACATGCTGAGTGGCTTTAAGGCCTGAGGTAAATGAATTTGTCATCATCTTATCCCTAAGAAGGGTAACTCTGTGTAGGGTTTTCATTCATGTTTGTAAACAGCCTTGAGCTCCTTGGGTGGATGTGCAGCAGAGACACTCTAGAAGCCTCACTCAGCACTGCTGTGTGCTGCAGCCAATCCTGTAGACTTCAGATCACATCAGTAAGCATTGTGCATTGAAGTCCAGACACTTTAGTGTATTCAGGAGCCAGAAATCTCAATGAAAACCATGAGACTTAAATGCCATAATCTTCTAAGGATCCACTTAAATACTGGGTGTACTAAATAAGTACAGTGATGTAGCAGACACAACACCTGCCAAGCCTCTTTGATCTGTACCTTCAGATGTTGAACTTGAGCCAGAGTTCCAGCATCATGCAGCAATTCTGTCCACCTTTCCCAGGCACTTCGTCCCCATCAAGTAGACCAAAATCCTTGTTCCTCTCATGGAAAGAAATCCAAAGCCCTTGCACAGCCTGAAAAGACAAAGTTGTTTTCCTCTTCAGAACAAAGCCTGTAAATAGATTGCAAACTTCCACAAGCTTGTGAATCCTGTGCTTCTTCAGAGCAGAAAGATTCCCTTTTGAGACTCACAAACAAGACAGACTTTGTAAGAGAATATAAGCTTATGCTAAACTTAAATAGATTTGCCTTTGCAGGAAAGCCAGGGACAGCTCCTTAGCCCTTTGTTGCTATCTTGAATTTCCTCCTTGCATCCCTTAGGCTTCTTAATTTTTTGCTTTATGATATTGCTTCGCCGTGAGCCTGCAGGATTAACCCTGAGCCTCCTAACCTAGTCATTCTCTGCCCCCTCAGAGGATCTAGCTTGGAGGGCAAAATAAAGTTGCAATGAGGCTTGAGTTTCAGGAGAAGTGGTTTTATACTTGCATCCAGCAGTTGCTTTGGTAATTACCAAGAAATATCAGCAGCCTATGGCACTTGGATCTGTGCTGGTCTCTGTAGTTCTGACTGTCCTGCTATTCCTGTCTCTTCTGTTCCTGTCCCTTTTGGTTTTGTGCCATTTGGTTGCTTTGCTCCCATTTTCAGATCTGTGACTTAGAACTGACAACCAGAAGCAGTAGACAGAATTCAAGAAGTGAGTGCCAAGGGAAAGGAAACAAAGAAAAGCCCTTCCTGGAGTCCAAAACAAAGAGAAGAGCTACACAAGCTCTCCAGCTGTGCTGTAAAGAGCTGCCTTTACTTTTCCATCGCTTAGTGCATGGGTCATGTTGCACTGTTTGTCTGGCACCTCTTAAATGTAATAAATTCTCTTTGTGTATTCCTTCTGGTTATTTCTATCACCTAAAGTACTGCCATATAAAAGTTCTAAATACCATATGTACCTGCTAAGATATTTCATTTATAATGCCCATCAAATTGGCACCACCAGTTCTGGCATATTCTTTTTTTCTCTTTGATCTGGTCCATGTAAGTGAAATAGAGACATTAGCTCCTGAGGACAAAGTGTGGTCTCAGCTGTGCTTGGCCTTTGCACTGTGGTGCATTCATGTGCTTCTTTGGGCATGTAGAGAGCAACGTGGCACATGAGTGCCCTCATGAGCAGAACAACCCTGTCCTGCTCCACCTGGCATTCAGTCACACCAGTAAACTCTTAAATGCACAACCAGCCACATTTTCATCATGTGGTACTGGTAACACAAAAAAATACAGATGTTTAAGGATACTTATGTCTATGGATGTATCTGGTTTTTATTCATGCTGTCTTTGGCATGGGAACATCAAGGTGATTTTTACTAAGAATGGGGGGTTCACAACTAACAGCCATGTAAGGAAACAGAAGATAATGTCTATACCCTTTTACTGTTGCCATCCTAACACGATGCCCTCCTTTCAAAACAAATACAGATTTTGAAAGCTTTTCATTCAGTGAGCAAAAATACATTGTCTGTAACAAAACTATTTCCTCTAGTTTATGGAGCAATTTTTAATGCTCTGAGCATCTGTAAATGCTGCATGTAAAAAGGAGGAAGAAGAAACCAGACGGGAGAGGTTTTTTAAATTTTATCTGCCTTTAAAAATGATTGGTGAGAAGCTGTAAATCTTCTCAGTTAAAAAATTAAAAAGTGGAATATTTTAAAAACACTTTGAGGAGACAGCCTGTAAGCACTGGCTGTGTTCTCACTGCGTAGGAGATTCACACAGCGAGGCAGATTTATGTTTTATTGAAAACCTTGCTACTGCCTTTAGTTCTTTGCTGCAAGTGACATGCACTGAATACATTTCTATCTTCTTTCTATTTTCAGGAAGAGATGGCACCTCTTCCCACCTGGTGACACCAGTTTCCTTTATCCTACCAGGATCCCTTATGAGGAATCCAGCATATTCAGCAAAGTCAACATTGCCAACCCTGATCTGAAACGCTTTCCCGAGTTTAGGAACTCAACAGCACATGTTGTTACACTCAGTCCAGGACAGGTACCACTTATATATGAGCTTTACGTTACCTAATATTCTATTTAACTGGCTAATTAAGGGCTAGGAAATCTTAACAAATTGACTGTGGAACTTCGCTCTTCCTTCACTCCACATTCAGACTTTATAGATTTCTCTCAGCACAGAAACTTTTTTCACTGACAGTTATTTGCCTAGACTTTTTTGTACAAAAACTGCAGACATTTGGAGAGCTATCAATAAGCTGCCTGATTCATAGATCAGAGTTCAGTCAGCTGCTTGATTCCGTGCAACCACCTGCCTCACCTCAAATTTGTCTACTTCAGAACCTTCTTGAACTCTGACCTGTCTACTCTGACAGCACCATATTCCATAAAATGCATTTGGTTAATGAGTATATAGAACTAGCAAAGGAACTCATATTTTAGTAGTGAATAGCCTTCATCTGTTGCTTTAATAAATACTTTAATGATGATACTTGCATTTAAAGTGCACACAGGTTTCATGGTGCTTTACAGGGCTGTGAGGATGTTTTTAATCCTGCTTTACTGAGAAGGTTCAGCTGTAAGTGCCTGGCTGACAGTCACACAGGCAGGCAGCAGCAGTGTGAGAGCAGGGCTCAGGACTCTTGATTCCCAGTCTCCTGCTGTAAATAGTGTCCTTCTTTATTTAATCAACAAGGTCTGTATTTGGGGTCTGAATTACCCTTATTCATTTGTTCAGCCATGCATGTCCTGGTAAGGCACTGCTGTGCATCTCAAACTGTCAGGCCCTTCCAAAGGAATTTTGCAATGGTCATTGCTCAGACAGTGGAGTTGCTGCTTCTGGAGCCCTTTCACTATTCTCCTACCAGATATTGTCTCCTCTTTTGACCTGCCAGCTCAACAACTTGTATGGGCATTCCCCTGTCCCTAACTGGCAAACCCAGCTGCCTTCAACAATTTAAAGAGTAGATTTTTGCTAATTAAGTTAATTTTGAGGAGGCAGAGTGGGGCAGGATGGTAGCTTCCAACAAAAGGATGATACCCATCAACTATAAGTGTATGCTCTGCAGTTGGTACAAATGCAGATGGAGAATCTATGATCAGCCTTTACTGTTTGCAGTACATTAGCTCATACTCATACTCCTAAAGCAAATCATTAGTTTCACATTCAGCACTTTCTAAGGTTGCAGCAGTCAGTAATTTAAAGCACAAAGAACAGTTTTGCTATTGATAAAAATGCCACACCATTCAGCGCTGAGTTATCCCTGATCCCCCAATACTATTTGAATTTATAATCTCCTTTGCAATGATCAAGTGGACTAGTGAACCTTTAATATGATCTTAATTTTAATTAGGCTTAAAGCAATTACAAATTAATCTTGCTAGGAATAAAGATCTTGAGCCAGCTCAGTAATACAATTTGTCTGCATTGCCATGAACAAGATACTGTTTGGATTTCTTGGGGGGGAAAGTAATGTAGAAGCAATGATGGAGCAGTGAAGTATTGTCTTTGTCCATTTTATCAGTGCCTTCTGTGTGGTGCTTGCCAGCATCTCGTCCAGGAGCTTTTGGGGCAGGTGGCTGGGAGCTGCTGCCATTTGATGGAGAGGAAAAGAATGACCTAGAAGAACTCCTTTATTAACAAGGGAGAGAATTCCTAAATAATGTCTTGATATGTGCTTAACAGTGATTTTCACGTAGAATTAGCCCAATTACTGCAGAATTTGTAGGCATCTTTATTTTGTGATAAAATGTAGCATCTCCACTCATTCCCAGAGGGTATGCAGAACATTTTGGATTATTGTAACAATAAAAGGCTGGAAAAATGAAGACAAAGGTGTTCTTAGGTATTCAGGAGAGCAGCTGCATGTAGAGTGAGTGCAGCTTTGAATATCAAAAACTTAATGTGTCTAATGCCACCTTCTGGTCAATGTTTGCTACCAGCCATTTTTTACACCCTTTCTGCCTGAAAGCAGAATTCCTTCATGTAACATTGTGCCAGTGTACTTCAGTTAGATCCTTTGTGCCCTTCCACTGTACAGAGGTGAACCTCTAGTATGAATTTTGGTAGCTGATTGACACAAAGTTTTATAAGGTTTCATCCTGCACCTGACCACTGGCTGTCAGCTGCACTTCAACAGAAATAACTTCTGGTTATACATTAGTGATCTCTTCTGAAACAAATTATGAAAACATTAAGATGTCAAGCTTACTTGAATAGGCAGCTGAGCAGTGGAAGGGCTTGCAGCAGTACTATATCCACTGTATCAAGTGGAAGTTACAAGCTCAAGTTGTGTCACACAAATGTAGGGGGTCCATATAAATGTTTGGACCTGGTCACCTATTTGATGGTTGCATAGCTGAGGATTAAGTATGGAGCAGCATTTCTAGTAACACCTTCAATCCTTTCTCAAATATACAAATACTCCCTAAAAGACCAGAAATGGGACAAAACACATCTGTTCTTGTGTCTTCTACCCATGCCCTGGGACAAGTGTTAAGAGAGTTAGGGATCTGTCACTCTCAGCTTAAATCCTGTTCAGGACAGGTGTCCTATCTGCCATCAGTGGCACCTGGCACCTCAGCAAGGTGGTTCATCCTTCCTGTCTTACACAATTACAGTCCTGCAGGAGCATTCACCCCACCTTGTCCTTCAGCTCAGGCTGTAGAAGGAGCCTGTGCACATAGATGCTTAAATTTTTTGATGATTAAAAATAGGAAAGATGAATACCACCTGAAAAAGCTACAAAAACTGAGATGCTGTACAAGGATAAAATCATTGATCATTCTTTCCTCTGCCCCACTTCTTACTGACTTTTGGCTTCCTTCCTGCTTTCTAATGTAATTGCTCTTAATCCATCTCCCTGTTAATCCATATCCACATAACTAGACAATGGTGGGGAGGCTACAAAGTGATCTGAGTTCATCTGAAGGTATGGAGAGCAATCAGCTGCCACTCTGGGCCCCTGGAGCAATCCCATTCCCCCTCTTGCCAGCCCAGGCAGGTGCTGTTGGAGGCAGTGCTTGTCTGCCCTGTGGCCTGGCCCTGTGCCCCAGGGCAGCCTGGGGACGGAGGAGCTGCAGTGCAGAAGTGCAAGGAAAGGCCTGGCTGAGGTAATCTAAGAGGCACATTGGGTCTGAGAAGGATGCCCTCCCTCTGGCCTTGAAAAATATTGTCACTGGATGGGAAAAAAAAATTAGAGAAAGATTAACATTACTGCTTGCTGGTTCTCACCATGGTCTGCTGCTCAGAAACTCCCTCCCCTGCTTCTGCTTACCTGCTTTCTCAAAGTCTAAAAGAAACACATTTATGTGGCCACAAATACAGTTGTCACTCAGTTCCTGTGTTTAGCTGCAGGATTTTCTCTTTCTGTGCTTCTGCTGCAGAATCTAACACACCATGGGATCCTGCTTAGCAGAGCTCCCAACAGCACAGGCAAACCTCTGACTTTTAACCTAACCCTGAGCAAGAAGAAATCTTCATGAAGTCAGGGAGGGATTTCCCTCTGTGCTGCCTATAAAGAAAAGGTGTGAGAACATCAGATTGGGCTTAAAGTGGGGAGCAGCAGAACACACAGTCTGGATAGCCAAGAAAAATATAATTGATACCAAAGAAAAGTGTTTTAGTAAGTCAAGAAATGCAGTAATTCAAAGGTAGTGTAATGTTCCAGCTCAAAGTATACGAAAGACTTTTTAAGTGGGGTTACAGTAAAAAACCCTACTTTTGTTGGAAAAGAATTTAAGTGATTTTACTAAAAGAGAATTCAGAGTTGGCCACACCATTATGCATAGTAGATGGCTGGTAATTCTGTTCTGGGGAAGGAATAAAGAGTTTCACGTGGGAGACTGCAGAGCTGGCCCCAAGTCACCCCATAGGGAAGGCAGACAGCCCAACCCAACCTCAGGACACCAGAACTGTGACTTCCATCACAGAAGAAGCAGAAGAGTCCAGGAGCTGAATTTATGCTAGGATTGGTGATAAAAACAGTGCTCAACCTGCAACACCTATGGAGAACCCCATGAATGCCACAAAAGCGAAAGGTCAAACCTGCAATTTCCTGGCTCTGCTTCTCCACTTCTTCCCTGAGCTTCCCTCATTCTCTCACCTGGGTCACTGTGGGCATGGCCTGATGCAGCCCCACTCCCTCCTCTCCACTGCCCTTCCCCATGGCTGTGCCTGTGTTTCTGACCCCAGTCACCCTTGGAGCTCCGTTTCAGTGGACAGGAAGACACCAGGAGGGAGGAGGAGGCAGGATGAGAGGCACCTTCCAACCACCAGGAACAGCCAGGCTCCAGCTGGGATGAGGCATAGGCTGGGGCAGCAGGGCTCACACAGTCCTCAGGTGCTGTTCCCACAGAACTGGCTATGCCAGCACCTACTTCATTTTATGTTTCATTGCCATGGTTGCAAACACTTCTGGGATTTCCTTGGGTCCCCCTGTGGCTCAGTGTCTTTGTATTCCCATCACACTGGCTTCCTTTTTGTGTGCATTTACCTAAATACCTTTTTCTAATGAGCAGAAATTTCTTGGTATAATATTTCACTTCAGGGTGTGCTCTCTTTTTGAAGCAATTCCACCTTTGCCCTACCTTTGCACTGTATCAAGTTAATCATGTCCACTGAGAATTCAAACCTGCTCTGTTCTCTGTGCTGTACAAGTCTTCAGCATTGCTCCACTTGCTCTCCCAACTGTTCCTTTGGTTTCTTTCCTCCCATTACAGCATCTCATTTTATCTTTTCTGGGACTTCTGTCCTACTTTAACTTCATTTGCTATATTTGGCTGTCACTAGCCTAAATATTGAAATTATCTGATTGGTTACTGTTTAGATCAGTATCTTCCCAGCACGAATAAAGTTAGATAAGTTCTGTGGAAAGCAGGCTAGCACAAGATTATCTCTTAACTTGGAGTAGTTCTGTCTTGCTATTGCACTTTACTTTTTCCCTGTAAAATGTTTGCTGCAGTTGTGTGTGTTGTTTCACTGTGGCTTACTTTCACGTCTCCTATAGGAATGTAGCTAAATCTGTGTCCCATATTCGTAAATCTATGGAAGTCTGCTTTTTTAAATTGTGAAATTGATCATTAGAGGCAGCGGTGGTGGTTTTTTTGTTTTCATTTTGTTGTGTGTCTGTTTGCTTCTAATTTGAAAACCTAGAAGAATACTAGTTTGTAAATGTAGAAGAATCCTACCTTTCTTTTCTGGGTTGTTGGCGTTCTGGGGATTTTTTTTGGTCGTGTTAGTTCTGCTCTCTTGCCAGCTGTATTTTTTGGATTTAATTACCTTTTTCCATTTCTTCATCTTTAATAAAGTTTTAGTCCTTCTGCTTTTTGATAATTTCAATTTTCTTGTTGCTATAAATCCTAATTTTAACAAGCATAAGCTTGTTCAACAATAAAAGAGGGAGAGCAAGTGTCTTTATGGAGCCTCTTTTGCCTATTTGAGTCACAGCTCTGTAGCTCTTCTATAAACTGCATCAGCCAACAGTGCCAGCTGCAGAGAGACACAACTTTGCAGTTATTATCCTTAACCTGCTGGCAAGGGAAATCTGATTAGTCTCTAAAGGACCAAGTTCCTCCTCTTTGGTTTGAAAACACAGCGCAAGTTGTGGGGATTGTATTTTCCTTCTGGCTGTACCTGCTCTCTCCAAAGCAATTCTGTCTCCCTTTTGCACATGAGTCATGTGGAGCCAGCACGTTCCATGCCTGATTTCCTTCCTGGTTTTCCAGGCAGCATCTCTTACTGAAACATTTATACATTTCCCTTAATCTGTCTCCTGCTTGTGTTCCCTTGCTACCTGGTCCCTGTGCACCACGTCCCCAGTGTCTGCATGCCCTCCTCCAGCATGCTGCAGCTGCACAAGGCTCAGGGGAGGGATCCCCTTGGTGCCAACAGGCTTACGGGAGCTCTGCTTTCTTCTGCTGTAACACAAGGTTTGCCAGGGCTCACATTACACCTGGCCGCTTGCAGGGCACCCAGAGACTTTAGCAGAGTTCAGTGTAAGATCCCTTATTGGGGAGGGCAGGGAAGGTTGTATGATTTTGCAGTCAGTGAAACTGGAAAACACTTCCTTACAGATAAACCCATTGCTGCTAATGCAACTGCACTGTTCATTTAAAGTGGATGTTTCCTTGAGGAAAACAAAACTCTGAAACTTGTTCAGCAGAGAAAATGTGTTGTGGCTACAGTCTGTAGGGTTTCATACACTTATATGTCAGGACTAACTAGTGATCTTTTTAAAATCATAACCCTCCACTGACTGACTTCCTCTTCTGTTCTGCATGCTGTACTGGATTAAAGAATAATTTCCAAATGTTTTTGACCTTTGGAGAGCCAGTGCTTCTTTTTGTTTGACTTAAATTTAAGCCTGTGGAGAACATTTGTCATCTGGCCCAAAAAATGAGAGTGTTCCAAGTGTCCTGTAAGTGTTTGCAGGACTGGCGCCATTGTTTCCCCCACTGACATTTTCTCATTAACTGTGTTTTGATATATAATGAAGTACAGGGCTATCTGGGTAGCAGAACATTCTTCTAAGTAATTTGTGTCCACCAAGAGAAAGAACTGTCTGCAATTCAGATACAGATCATTGCTTCACTTTACCCATTGTGAAGTATATATTTTTATCTGTCTCTGACCATTTTTATAACTTGTCAAAAAATATCTTTCATGCTTTTCTTGATAGCTCCATGTTACTCTAATGTTCAATAATCTGCAAAGCTTGTCCTCTATCATCAAAACAACATCAGTGTCTTGTACCATAAAAACCATGGGTTGGAATCAATTTTATGTCACAGCTATCATCCTGATATTGTTGTAAAGCTCTGATCTAAACTAGATTGTCCTAGAAATCATGACATTTTCTTTTAAAAGCCTGTCTACTAAAAGTGACAAATTTAATACTGGTGATTATTTACCAGAATTAAAGCTGCATTTTGTCACCTAGTCACCTAGATGAACAGAGGCATGCCTGCTTTTTGGGAAAGCCAGCTGGCAGTCCTACAGGAACTGGGAAGTCTGCTCAGTTGGAGAGTCTACAAAAGAATTCCTGCTTGGCTGAGACTCTCTCTGAAGTCCTGATGTTCTGCTGCACCAGCTGCACCCCCTCTGTACTGCTGGACTTTGCTTACCCACAGCAATTAAAGGTTATAGTCCTGCTTGGGACTGTATGGGAAGGAGTTTGGATAAAAGATTGTTCTGGATCATGTCCATTTCTTACATGATAGTATTGATAGGGTGGGCATTTAAGTCTTGAGAAAAGGCTCTTTAAAAGAGAGAAATAATTATCACCTCTCACCTGTGTCCTTGCCTCAGTTTTGTCTCTATCTTTAAAAGAGAGAAATAATTATCACCTCTCACCTGTGTCCTTGCCTCTACATCCCACACCACCTAAATTAAAAAACTGTCTTCAGGCTTCTGCCTGTACCCTAATGCAATGTCTCCAATTCCAGGTCCTGCTCGTTCCAAGGCACTGGTGGCACTATGTGGAATCCATTGATCCTGTCACTGTCAGCATTAACTCTTGGATTGAACTGGTATTTTCCTTTTAATGTCCTAGGGGTGTAGCACTTCCAAGGGATTTCTGTCCCTTGCCTGCCATATGCAGTCCTATTGGATTTGTTGTGCTCAGAGGCTGGGGAGGGAAGAGCCCTTATAGATACATCTTTTCAGGAAGAACCTTTCAAGGTTCCACATCTGAAGCCCCAGTTCAGCAGAAATCCCCTTTCAAGTTTACTTCAATCAGGTAAACAATTAAACACAAGCTAAATTTTCATGCCTAGTTTCTTAAAGGCCAGCCAGCTTTGTGCTGAATAGAGAACAAAAAACCAGGAACTTCACCTCAAGGACAAGCTTATGTGCAAAGCTAAATTAGAATTTAAATCAGATTAATGTGAATAGGAAGGGAGGAGAAGATTTTTGAATCTTCATTCCTCTGTGATAGTTTTGATTTGGCTGAAGTTGGATTTCCTCGTGTATTTAATTAATTTTCTTCTCCCTGGGCTTTGATTTTTCTTGCTCATGTTAACCAGTATATATGGGATGGTTCCAGGGATATCATAAAATCATGGAATAGTTTGGATTGGAAGGGACCTTTAAGGGTTGTCTAGTCCAGTCACTCTACAAGGAGCAGGGACATATTTCACTAGATCATCTCAGTACTCCAGAAGGTTTTTGGATTGACATTACTTTATTATTAATCCTAGGTTAATATTAAAATAAAAAAACCTTTTGAAATAGCCTGTGAAATGGCCTCACTAAAATACTCACTGCCTTTTTTTTCCCCTACTTCTAAAACCTATGTTAGACTGGAAATCTGCAGGGAAAGAACACATGCTTTCAGCTGCTGTTGCAAGAGCAGACAATGTATTTCTCATACCCACATCAAACCAAGCAGAGCAGAGGAACTCACTTGGGTATTTCCCTCATGGAGAAATTCTCAAGATGAATCCTATGTGTTTAGCAAGGACGCCACAGCCCAGACCAGGCTCTTACACAGCCCTAAATGCAGTCAGGCTGTTTCCAGTGCCAGAGAAAGCACCAATTTTATTGCAGAGCAGCCACTTAAGCCTGCCTTGAATTTGAGCCTTTGAGGTAACTCAGAGGCACTGGCTGTGTGCCCTGGGCTTGGGAAGGCCCTGATGTCACCACACACACTTGTGCCCTAAGCTGGGCCTCACAAGTTGTCCCCCCCTGGAGGAGCAGGCTGTGGTGGGATCAGCTTGGCTGGTAGCTCCCAGGTGCTGGGGTGGGGCCTGAGCATTTCTAGCTGTTCTTATGTGTTGCAAGGAAAAAAAAAAAAAGTGGAGCTAAATTCTACATCATTTTCTGTCATAAAGGCCTTGCAGAAGTCACCAAGACCCTGTGTGGTGCCAGCAGGAGTCAGTGGTTGTGTGGTATCGTAAGCAGAGGAGTGTTTGCTGGATCTTGCTAATAAATGACACACACCCTCCCCAGATATCAGTATCTGCCACAACCAAATGTGGCTATTGCAGGCCAGGTGAAAGCTCCTTACAGGAATCACCCCTGCAGCTGATGATCCAGCATTGTTTGTGAGGTGTTGGGCCCTCCATCTATAAAATAAATTCTGACATGGATTCTAAAAGAAAATTCTGAGAACATTTGCATTACCAAACCAAGCTGTTCTTGCTCGCAGCTGTTACCAGCTGCTTTCATATTGACAGATGTGAATCACACCAACAATTACAGTCCCAGTGAAACCATTAATTATATTGGCAAGAGTTTAGAGTAGAAATTTAATTTGTTTTCAGCTGGATGTGAGCTACCCAAAAGTATTCCTTGCTTTCTAATATACTGTCATGCAATCAGTACAGCCCTGTTATTCAGCAGGCCAGGATGAATACCAAGAATGCAACACCTTTAATAATTTCCACATGTAGAATACCAAGCTCTGTATTTTGGTGGTTTTTTATACAAGACCATTAAAAAGCCTAGCATCCAAACCCACAAAATGCCAAGAGCACTTCTCCCTGCTTCTATCCCAAATTCTGCTTAGGGTTCCAGGACAAATCGCTGCCTTCAGCCCTCGTACAAGGCAGATGTGTGGTTTGCTTGACAGGTTCCTTGGAGCCACAGTTAGACTGATCAGGGCTGTGGGCTGACCATGTTGCATCTTCCCTCCAAAACGAATATATCGAAGCATCTCAACTGAAGCAAATTTATGCATCTAGGTACTTGTCATTGAGATAACAAAACCACCATCCTGTTTGAGAGTCTAACATTCCTTCCACATACAAGAAACACCCAAATGGGAAAGAAAGCCAAGATCCTATAAAGTTGTTTTTTTTCTGCTATCCTAACCTAGCCAGTATCCAGCTGTCCAAGAGGGATCCCGAATGAAGTGAATGCTTGAAACAAAGGGCCTGTTACTAAGTTTGTAAGTTAATTTTCAGTTTTGCAGGAGAGTTTTCAGAGCAAACATGCTTTTCCTTCTGGTAATGTTCAAAAGTGCAGCAGTTTGTCAGCTGTTTGTTACATGATAAAATATTTCCTGAATTTCCTTAAGATTCACTTTTGTGCTTGTGTAGCCCTTAGACAACTGCTGCCTTGCTATAACATCCTGTGTGTTTTAATTTCTTAAATTAGACAGAATACATAGATATAAAAATGTGCTATGTGCTTCTAAGGCTCTTCTAGTCCTAAAGAGCTGTTTAAATGCACACATTAATTAAATGCTAATATTGCATTATAATTTCAAGCACCAGATTCAATTAACAAAACACTAATAAGGGAAAAGATTATATACACATACTATTTTTTGCATATCCTTATTCAGATGAGCAGTCACACCAAAGCCTGTGCTGTCACCTGTTTGGGGGGTTTACACAGGAAGAGAGTCTGAAACCTTCCACTGACTTCACATGGATGAGTGTGGCTTTCAAACTAAGGCCATCTATATTTTTCCTAAGATCTTTCAGCTATCTGCAGAGACCCGTGAGCTGTTCTATCCTCTAAAACCTTCTGTTCTCTTGAGGCAGGATGCAGATCATGAAGCCCGAGTAGAAGAGGCAATAACTCGAATGCTGGTATGCGCCATAAAATCAGCAGAAAATCCCAGTGATGGAGATCTCTGGCTAAATCCCACGGAGGTGAGCCCTCTACTGCTCCCATTATGGCAGCAATAACAAAGAATTACTGACATTTTGCTTAGCTCCCCCTCAGTCTTTATGCTGCTTTGAGAAAAAGAGTTTTAAGTTCCATCCCTTCATGTAGCAAAAGTAATTCATGGAAGATAATCATGCAAGGTTGAATTGAAACATGTCTCCTTTTAACTGAGTGTATTCTGGGTGTTTTCTTAGGTTGAGGCAACATCCCATGAAATCAATCTTCAGTACCTGAATAAAGCAGTGTCTGCATACCTCAAGTGTCAGGAGACAAGTGTGTCAGGACAGGCACGCTCCAGCAGCACCGGTGCAAAGCAGAGGACAAATACCTCATGCAAGAGGAAGAGAAGGGAATTTGGCTGTGAACCAGGGAGCTGCACATTACTAACCCAGGAATGTGATGTTCCAACACCCACAGCAGAAGAGCTGCAGAAAATACCTTTTGGGCCTCATCTTATTCAGGTTTTACCACAGTCTCACAAAACCAGTGTGATGGGTGCAGTTGCAGTTGAAAGTGACAGTGGAGATCTCCATGAAAATGAAGGAGAACATTTTGGAAAATTACAGTGCAAGAGGAAGAGATTGTTAATGAGTAATGACTGTGAGACAGCTGCACATCAAATGGATTCAGACTGCAGTCCGTGCACTTCACAAACAGCCCTTTCTACCAATGACTTGTTAGACTGTCTGGTTAATCCTCGTGTCATCAGTTTGGTGGCTCAGCTGCTGTTGGAGAGAATGAGAGTGTGATGCTGGAGTGCTTTATCATTGCTGAAACAGAAATCAAACAGCAGCCTTGTTCTGCATGTTTAAGATCTGTAATAATTGAATGTTCCATTTCAAGTAATTTTTAGGTACAGATAGACACAGTTAATGGTTAAGTGCAGGTTGAAGTTGAGCTGAAAGAAGAATAGCTGGTTAGTGATGGCTGGGAAGAGAAAAGTGTGTTTAGTCAGGGAGCTGCTCAATGTTATGAGAGCACACACAGTCACACTCCCACTGTGCTGTGCAAGTGGGATCTTCACAGTGTTCTACAGCTCTGAGCTGGAAAACAATATGGCTTGATGATGGATAGCAGAGGGAGTGCTGGGACATGGTCACAGCAAAGGGGGACCGGGGGGGAGCAGATAGATTGACGGACTGTCGACTGCAGTCCTTGACCACATTTGAAGTGAAATAGTCAGTAAGCAATCAGTTGATTACATTAGAAATAATAAATTCAGGTAAACCTAAACCTCAGCCAAGAGACAATGCACTCACTAATGCATCTACTTCCTCCCTTCCACTAAATAACTTCAGTTGTGTCACAAAGCTCTAGGCTGGAGTGAGACAAAAGCCCTTAGCAAGAAAGTAGCCTTTAGCTAGTTCAGAAACTCTTGAAGGTGGGAGAGTAAGGGCATTGGGAAGTTGCTGCTATTATTTATTTAAAGCCAGATATGCACAGTCCCCTATCTCTAAGAAACAGCAAAACAGCTATGACTTTTTACCCTCTGTCCTTCTCTTTACCATAACAATCAAAATGTATTAATGTTATTTTTTTGGTTGTAAATGGTTGCTGTACAAGATCATCCTTTCTTCAAAGGATAGTGATCCTTGGATTTGTTTTTGAAGGCTAGGTTGTTCTTTGATTGAAAAGTTAGGGAACGTGAAATATAGGCAAGAAGGTTTGTTAACTCTGTAGTTATGCACGGAGACTTGAACAAAACCTGGGAAGAAAGCTGCTGGCACCTTCCAGGATGCTCTCAACTCCTCTGATTTCTGTTTGTGGTGGCAACAGAGGCATTTTCCCTAACTGCAGTTTCAAGAAACAGCTTCAGCTCCTGTGAAACCTCTGCTTTTACAATGTCTCTTTGCTTATGTCTGCTAGAGACCAAGAAACCAGTTTCTATCATCAGCCTGTTCCCATAGCCCTAACCATGCACCACCAGCCCTCCAGCTGGTATTTCCTTTGCTTGGTGTGTGTTCCCTGCTAAATACATGAAGCTAGTGCTGTTTCCACAGTGATCACCTTCCACTAATTTATAGTTGAAAATCCTGATTGCAAAGGTGCTTTCTGTCTGCTTTTATTCAGATTGCATGTTGGCAGGGCCCTGATGAATTATGGTAAGGGCTTTAGATATGCACCAGGAGATCAGAAATTCAGGAAACCTTGCCATTTCAAAAATCTCCCCAAAAACCTAACACACTTGGAAGAGGAGTTGAAAAGGCTCAAAGGTTCACGTTTAACAAGCACAGAAACCTTACCCTGATGGAAACAACTGTGTATGTAGTTTGCTGGAGACCCTGGCTTTGAAGAGTGGCTGTGAGTTAGCAGCAGAGGCCACACGAGCTCCATCTCTGACCCACAAATGGGCAGTTCCCAGTGTCCTGCTCTGCCCTGGTAATTGGGCTCAGACCCTGATAACACCTCAGCAATGTGAGAAAATCCACTGTCCTTGTTTCATGTTTCTACACCAAAGAGTCTCAGTGGGGTTGCACCCTTGCAACCAGAGCAGAATTTAATAAACAATCCTGTTGATAGAGTTCCTGTTTGTGTGATGGCACTGCTGTGACAAAGGAATTCGGTCAGGAATCTCTTAGGAAACATCGTGGTCACCTCTGCTGCCTTTACCGATTGACCAGGCTCATAGGGAGCTGTCTGTGGAACAGGGCAGACCCATTTTGAGGCACAGGCACATCTCAGCAGAGCTGGGTTTAGCAAGACCCTGCTCATGTCCTGCTGCTGGACTGGCCTTTCCGACGTTGACCAGAGGGGCTGGGACCAGCTAGAGAGCATTGCTGCTGGGAGCAGTTGCACTGGGAAGGAAGGGTTACAAATGACTCATTTTAATTCACTGAGCAAAAATAGTCTTGCAATAAAAAAACTTTTATGTCTAGAACAGATAGAGATGGGGGAGGAGAAGCACAGGCAGTAAAGTGGAGGAGGATGGCAGCATCATCTTCCACTCCCCACAGTGTGAACTTGCTTCGCTTAAGCTTTCCTCCCAACACACAGATCATCTTAATGTACCCCATGAAATCCACACTGAACAGTCTGTCCTTGGAAAGGCTCACTGAACATGTCAGGGGTCTCTGTAGGACTTGCCCTGATCGCCTTTGGTGCCTGTGCCAGAGCACCCATCTCGGGCTCAGTGTAGGAGCAGCATTCTCCCAAGCTGAGCTGTGTTCAGTCACATCCCTCACCACTCCAATCACACCCTCTCTGTCTGGGGACAGTCACAGTTTATGCCTGTCCAGGTGCAGCCCATGATTTAAGGGCCAGGCTGTGGCCAGAAGCCATTAAGCCAAGGGGACAGGGAGAAGAGCGAGTGAGGCTGTTTAGGATGCAAGGCAAAAGCACCAGAAGGACTTTGTGTCTCAGAGGTGCAATATAAAATCTCAGCCATACACTCTGCACACAGGGGCAGAGAGAGAAATGACCACAAATTCAGCAAGTCACGTATGGCAAATGGCTTGTGCACCAGTAAGAGAAATTTATGGCTCTGACCCGATGCGCAGCGTGCCGAGTGCCACGATTCCTGACGCCGTTTCTAAATTCATGGCCACTGCGTGCAGAAGCTCAGACGAGTTTCTACATATTCATAGCGTTAAAAATAAATGATTCCTGATCTCTCTGGTGACAGCCTGTCTCCAAGAAGAGCAGGAACCCAGTGCTAACCCTCTGCAACTGCTGATAAAAACTTTCTCCCCCAAGGAGGAGTATTTCCCACACACTGTCAGCAGTGGGCACGGCAGCAGTTGAGATCATAACCCGGAGCCATCACTGGGGTGGTCACAGTGGTGACATGCTTGTCATCTCTGCTTTAGCTGAATGACAGTAAGAGGTGGACCTGCAGGGCCTGGTGTTGAAGGCTTTATAGCCTTGCTCCAGCCCAGGGCCAGTCCAAGCAGTGGGATGGACCAGCACATTCACCTCCCACACACATCCAGGCTGTTGTGCTTGGCCGGTGGGGACCCTGTGTGCTCCCTGCCCCAGCACCAGGTTTGCAGAGTGGCTCATGGGCCAGCCTGGATTATCCCTCCTGGACTGACTGGCACGGCTACTCACTGGCCCTGAGCACCACTCTCACTAAAAGGAATCTGAAAAAACCACACCCAGGTCTGACAGTCTCAGCTCTCAAGTGAGCAGGAAGGGAAAATCCCAAATAGCAACATCTTCCAGAGTTTCAGTCTTCTCTGAAAACCTCCCCACTAAATTTCTGTGGGTACCACTGGGTCTCACAGTGCCACTGCCCCCATTTGCCTCTCCCAGAACTCCTGCTGTGGCTCAGTTTTCTTGATGCCACAGAGCAGCTCAACTGCAGAGCTGTGACATATGTTATCATGTAAAATTAACCATAAATTGAGCTTTTAACTAACAAACATGGCATATCAAAGAGGTAGAGAGAATCCTTCCACAGTGCTAACTGCCCTTTAAAATAAAAGTAGTGCTACAATTTAGTCTGTTTGCCAACATGTAAGTTCCTTACTGTGTTTCTCAGCTACAAATGTGAACTGTTTTGGTGTTTGGCATGAGCAGGCTTCCACTCACGGGAGTTTCCTCCATGGGACATTTACAGTATGGCTGATGGGGAAAGACCTCTGCAAACAATTGGCCTGGTTGTAGCCTATGGTTAGTCCAGGTTGGGGAGGAAAAGGATCCTAGCTCTCCTGTACCATATTCTTCTGTCCTCCAGACAAGAAGATCTGACCCACAGCAAGATGGGGACACAGTTTGCCATGCTGGCTGGAGGGGCACTGGGATGATGGCATCTCTGGTTAAAGAGCCACACATTTCACAGCTGTGTTTTTGGAGACATCCCAAGTGGATGCTCCCAACAAAACATTAGTTTCTCCATCTAATTAGTGGGGTTTGTCCACCTTAGTGGTGTGACTGGGAGCTGGAAGTTCTGGTCACCCTGGAACAGCCAGTTTGGGAGGACCATAGCACCCAGGGCAAGGGGGGAGACTGTAGGGCAGAGGGGACAGAGGGGGCAAGTGCTGTGGGGAGAGGATTTTTGTGAGCCTCCCAGAGGCTCAGAGAACACAAGCAGAAACCCTGGAGCTCTCTGACCTCCCAGTGCCCCTGTGCTGAGGGACCTGGGGAGCTCTGGAGCTGGTGGAAGTGTCCCACAAGCCAGAAGCATTGCTTTGCAAATCTCACATGCGTCACAGCCCTCCTGGTCCTTGCATTTATTTACAGAGGCAGTGTCATGGAAAAGACAAGGCCAGCTCCCTGCTCAGCACCTTACAGCTCACAGCTGTAAGCTCACCTACAGCTTCTTAAATGCGTCACAGCCCTCCTGGTCCTTGCATTTATTTACAGAGGCAGTGTCATGGAAAAGACAAGGCCAGCTCCCTGCTCAGCACCTTACAGCTGTAAGCTCACCTACAGCTTCTTAGTGAAACCTAGCTCCAGGTTTTGAGGGCATAGATTTTGCTGCTTCCAAAGCTCTGGTGGTACTGTCCCAGCAATGAATTCTCATTCCTTGTGACGACCTATGAAAACTACTTTGTGAAGGTCTGAATCTGATACTTTCAGCACTGAAGAACTTTTAAATCCAATATCACAGCAAAAAGATGTGGCCCCCATATCTTTCCCAATCAGAAAGGTTGATTGCAAAACAGGTTTTCATTTCCCTTGTAGATATTTGGATCATTAGAGTCACTCTCTGTCACATCACTGCATCAGGGAGGGTATATGAGCTTCAATGGCAGGTAAAGAGTTAAAATTGTTCCTGGATTCCTCTCTCACCCCAGCCATGTCCCCTCCTCCTTCTCCCCAGAGCCTGGGCTATGCCCATTGAAAGCACCAGGCAGTAAAACCCTTCCCTTCTGAGCTGTGCCAGGCTTATCCCGTGCCCTGGTGGGACACAAGAATCCAGCCCAATTAGCAGCAGCCCTAACAAAGCTGGCTGAAAAACCACTATTAAAATGAAAGATGGTGTTGTGTAAAAAGAATGCAGAGCAAGTGAGGCCGTAACACAACTTATTGCTGTCCCCAGAGGAGCCTCATGACTTAGAGGGACTCGGTGCCTCGCCTGCGTTTCAGCCCCTGCTTCCCCAGGGATGTAATGGATTACCTCTGCATTTGCTTGGGGGTCTATCCAAAGGGATTAGGATCTCTGCCCTGGTTAAGAATGGAGCTTTCTGCCCCTCTGTGATAGCTCACTGCAATGTGTTTATTCCTTGTCTGCTGTTGCTCCCTCAACTGAAAGCCGCAGCATTGCAAAGATCGATGCTGCAGACTGCACGTAGCTCTCCCCTGCTTTGGCCATGACTGGTGACTCTCCACATGCCAGCAGCCCCAGCTCCCCCCCAGGGTGCTGCCCTCAGGACAGCCTTGCCTGGGTGAGCCTCCTCTCTGCCCTGCTGGGGACCTGATGGGATCAAAGGTCTCTAAATCCCCAACGCCTTTGACTCCAAGCACTCAAACCTGATTGCCCCCAAGTCACATCCATGAGGAGGAGCTCTGTGGGCAGATCAAGGCCAGAGCAAGGCCAGCTCGAGGGTACAACACATCAACAGAAGCATCCTCAGCCCCATGATGCTCTCCTGTGTCTGTCAAACATATTATTACCATTATTAACTCCAAAAGATGTTCAGAGCTCTATCAGAAGAAGCACTAGAACAGGAATCAGTGGAAGACAAGGCTGTCCTGGCTGGGGCACGAGAGCAAGGATGAAATGGACGTGCAGGTCTTTTCCATCCCTTCCTCTTCAAAGAGTAAATTAGCAAGGCATGGTAACAGTATTTGTGCAGTCACTGCTTGCACTGATTACAATAAATTTTGTCCTGCATGTTAAAGTCAGAAACATCTCGCATCTGCCAAGCGGCAATCAGGACCAATTAATGAAGATGTAATTTCCCCAGATGCTGCTATTAACATAATTCACCGTGTTCCTAGCAACATGAATATAATTAACCCAGTTAACCACAACTCTCATCACCGCCACACCAGGCTGCCCTTGGCCTCAGAGGAGCCTCTCTGCCCTGTCCCCAGCCACATCCACAGGGCTGAGGGGCACAGCCACTCCCCATCCTCTCTCCTCAGGGGTGGGTTTGGGAGCCACAGCAGTGCCAGATGCTCTTCCCAGAGGCAGGACAGCACAAGACCTCTGACACTCACCACGGTTTCCAGGCCTCAGCTGCACCTCCACAGTGATGGGTGACACTGCAGCAGGCCGGCCCCAGCCCTGGGAACAGTGCACACCCATGGGGGTCAGACCCGTGGCAAAATTCAGCCAGTCCCTTGATGCAGGTGCCCCCCAGCCCTTTTTCCAGGCTGATTCCAGGGTAATGATGTGGCTCACACACAGCTCTGCCCTCACCACCAGCCAGAGCACAACACTCACTGTGGGGAGCAGCAGGCCCAGCTGGGAGCCAGGGGCCATCCTCACCCACAGGGCAGCCCTGCAGTGTCCATGGGCACCTCCACACACAGAGAGACATGAACAAGGTCCAGAGCTCGCCACAGTCCAGCACATGGGAGCAAATGGATTCCAGGCTGGAGGAAGGGGGTGATATAATGCAAGAACCTCCTGAAGAAAGGCTGAAGCCAGGACTGGTGGCTGGGTTGAGCTGCAAGAGGCTCCAGTGCCTGTGTGCAGGTGTGTGTCCCAGCTGAGTCTGAGGGCCATGAGGGCCCCAGGTGCTCCTGTGATACCTGTGCTTATCCTGTCCTTATCAACACATCCTGTCCCCACGGGCTGGGGATAGGTGATGCTCCTGCTGCTGGTGGGGAAGGCAGGGCCAGTGGGATTTTCTCCTCTGTCTGTCCTAACTCAGCTTTGCTGCTGCTTCTAAGGAGGAACTCTGTGTGAGGAAGAGGAGGGAATGAAGGTTCAGGTGTTGAGACCAAATTTCAGGTTTCTCCAGTGCTTTCGTTCTTGAAGAGTTGAGGCAGAAGTCCCATCCTGTGCCTGCATCCCAGCCTTGCTCTCCCCTGGTCATTCACCAGGCACTGGAAGCAGGAACGGGCGATGCTCTTGGGAAGGACCAGGCCTCCTGCAGCCCCGTGGGCCGTGTTTTAGCAGAGCAATTTAATCACTGCCCACCTTCAGGGCTGACACAGGCTGCATCCAAGATGCTTTAGCCACTCCTGATTGTTTACACAAAAATTATTTCCGTTTTCCCTGATTTTAGAGAACGGACGTTTTCAAGTGGTCATAATTGGTCAGAAGAAAGTTTCATCCATGTGAAAGGACTTATCATCTGGGGGATTAGGCTGGGTTTTATTTCATCATTCCACATTTGCAGTGTAATTTCACTTTAAAAAAAAAACCAAAAAAACCCCCATGAGCAGCATTTCTGAAAAGCTCAAAACAGTTGGAAAGGCTTTTGTTTCCTGAGGGAAGAGCCCCTGGTTTCTCTCCCAGCCTTTTTTTTCTGGTAAGAGAGGAAACAAGAAAGGGTATGTTAAAAATTAATGAATGCCTTTTTTTTCCCCACAAGTGTGGGGAGTTTTCAAATGAATTTAAACTATTCAGTTCGTTCTTTTGATAGCTTTGGTCAATAGGGAGTTGATTTCCCAGCCAGCTCTGGGAGCACCTTGAAACTTCTAAAATTTGGAGAAGCATTGACCAAATCTCATTTCCTAGTGTGAGGCCACTAATGCTTTAAATAATTCATCTGGTTTCCTGCAGATTGATTTAACTCAAATCACCTGAAAATTCTAAGTGTAAAAATGTGGGTAATCTGCAGGGTCAGAAAAAGCAAGACATTTTAATGAAAGCATAGACCTCTCCAAACCAGTGAATAGTTTAACAATTACCTGATATAATAGCACGTAAAAAGATGCTGCGGACAAAGGTGAGATCATTCTTGTTAATTAAAGTGTCTGAGCCACAACACTCCTGCCTTAATAGTGGATTTAAGCCGAAGCGTTGTAAAGCGATGATAGATCGGTCATTGCTTTCGTGTAATTAAGGGAGAATAGAGAATTAACAAGTGCTTCTGCGGAGGGCCGAGGGAACGCTGCCAGCCCCTTATGGCTCTGCAGGATGCTGCTTTCCTGGGAGCTGCCCAGGGGCAGCAGGGGATGGTTAGGGGCAGGCAGAGGGGCTGTCCCAGCCTGGGCAGCCGCGGGACCCCGCAGGGGGATCGGCCCGGCCCGGCCGTGGAAGGGTCCGGTGCCTGCGGGTCCCGCTTTGCTGTCCCTTCGCCTCCCGCCTTTCCAGCCTTCCCTGAGAAACGCAGCCGCCACATCGGGATCGCCAGAGGCGCCCTGGGGACGCTTTTTAGGGCGTTTTTGTGATGCCCTTTCTCAGCCTCTCCCCCGGGCAGGCGGACAGAGCTGCCCAGAGCCCGGGGAGCCTCAGCCGCGCCGGGAGGGATCAAACATCCCTCAGGAAAGGGAGCGAGGAAGGGAGCGACTGGCTCCATGCAGGGCACTGTTGTCATGTTATCGCAAAAGTTCCCTGCTGTCTCTTTATTCACAAAAAGTTCGTACCTTCTCGG